GTTCAGCTGATATCAAGTACCGTCCGATGGCACTTTAGAAAATGTTCAGTAGAATCGGAATACAAAACTGAAGGGAATATATTAATACTGTTACTGTTATTATTATTTCACCCGCTGATTAAACAGTGATGAAATCTCCTGCCACCAAAAACATCCGCACTGAACCACTGAGTGACCCTCGCCCCACCTCCTCCCCCCCAACACCTCCATAATCCCCGAGCAAATCTCTCAAATCCTCGGTAGAGTTAATCACCAATGAGTGATCCATAATATTCCCTCGACACCACCATCATTTACACACTGTAACGCTAAACCACATATTACCCTCACCACCTTCCAAATTATATATATATATATATATATATATATATATATATATATATATATATATATATATATATATATATATATATATATTATTATTTTTTTTTTAAAGCCATAGACAAGTAAATAGACCCACACCAGTAGTACAGCACACTGCGTCTGTAGACAAAGTAGTTACGACCAAGGTCTATATAGGATCCTATGTAGACCTTGGTTATTACAACGCAGCACGCCTATAGTGTTGGTACATTTGTATTACAATATGAACTAATTAAAGGTTGTTGAAATGTGACTTAATAATAAAGGCTCATTTTTGTTAATGGTAATGACTACGCCGCCTGGGACAAGGTGAATACTCGTATTGTGCAACAAAGATATACTGTATACCGCACGCAAGAAGAATCAAGCACTGATAATTTTATTGCAGTAATTTACTTACTTGAAATCTGCCCGCATGGAGTAATATTAAATTACATGGACGCCTTCTATGACTAGTTGCGGCGCTTGGGCAGCCTCACCAAATAGGGAATAAATTACTTGTCTATAGATAACATTTTCGGGATCATTTGTGTCATTCACTATTGAGGCTATTGTTAAGATGATGACTCTATAGTTGCCAATCAGTATTTAACTAAAACCTATTTCCCGAAGTATTGGTCAACAACAGAATATTTTTTTGGATATTGATATAATGAACGATTGATTTATGAATAACATTATTAAAGAAATTATCGGTAATATGGAGGTATCAAATGAATAGAAATATATCGTGTGTACCGCTACAATAGCCCTAAAGCCACGCCCTCACAACAGCTTTTGACGAGTCTATTGGTCCATCACGCGTGATCTCAAATAGAGACTTTTAAACTTTTACTTTTCTTTTATGGATAAAACTATTATAGATTTTTCACTTGTAATGCTTACATTATTTATTCGTCATAGTGTAATTCGTCACTACTAGTTCAGTAATATTCATATACCATAAGAATTTTAAAAATAAAACTTATCTTCTGGCAGGCACATCTAGGCGGCCGTGAATTAGCCGTGATTTCACGTGACAAACAAAATTAAGCTTTCTATCGCTTTTGTTTAAAGATGGTTTCATCGTAAATAATAATTCTGACCACGAAACGCAAAAGCAAATTGAAATTCAGCTCGAAGTCACAACACATTAAGGGCTGTTATGGTGTGCATTGGTGCGTCTGCTGGCTATATGGCGATGATGTTATTGACGGCCGTAAACACTTTATTAATAATTACCACAATATGGCTACCCCCGTGATCTATTATCTGTAAGTTACACCGCACTGTTTAACGATTGTTTTTCTTTAGAAACTGTTGTTATTGTTACATAATTCTGTTCCCAAAGTTAAGGTCTTGAAGTACATATACTCTTCGCAGGTTCATACGTTAAACAACTATGGAAAATTTAAGAAGGTAATTGTGTTTGTTTCTGCAGGAATATTGTATTAATCATACTTTTCATTATCCTATACGGTGTCTAGTTTATAAAAAAGTGTGAACTAAACCACTGTGAGGGAAAACAAACCTCACCTAACCTTACCTTCTCTTTAGGTATTCTTCCCTTATACCCACGAAAGTTTTTTTTATGATTTTTTTTCAACTACCTTAGCCTAATCTAGGCTAGGTTAGGTTAGGTTTAATTATTTTTTCAGCTAACTTAACCGACAGAAAAACCCCCCTTGACTTGTGTTTTAATCGGTATTTTATACCTATTGGTTTAAAATTGTTCCATATAAGTTCATGTATTCCCTGTTCTTCACGAACCTTAGTTAAACATATAACTTAGCACTGTGAATCTTTCTCCTCGTGGAAATTTAAATAGGAGTTAATAAAAAAATATTAAAAAACAATATTTTACTCGAAATTTGGGAGTGATAAGAATGTGGAGTTGCAACTACGAATTACCTGATGATGTATGTTTACCTCTTCCTGCTCACACTACCTGTACCTCTGATGAATATTAACAGGAGGCATGGTGATGACAGTGTTAGTGTGCCAACTATTCATTACTCCTTAAAACAGGTGAAAAGAAATAGTGGTATAATTATTGTTCCTCAAGCTTAATCGGTGAATTCTATTTATCTCGGTAAATATAACTCATTCAGTTTAATGGAATGATATTTACAGCCGATATTTGTAAGTTGAGCTTAAATAGTATATGTTGAATAATAAATAAATAAATTATATTTATTATTAACTGCTTCCTAGAGGTCCAATGATGGTTATTCCCCTTGAATCCAGAGTTAGTACAATACAGGAGGAAACTGGAGTGTCCGGAACCTGCCATGTTCGGTGTATAGGGAAACGCCGTTCTCTCATCCTGTACTGTACCACTGTATTCTGGTATTGATTTGAAGCTGTCTGCCATTGTTCCATACACCAAGACATTTACTTGAGACGTTATGGAGATAAAGATGGTAGTCAATTAAACAAAAGTATTCTGAACTTGGCTAATTTTTCCGTTAGCCTGCACTGGGGTCACACAGTCAGGGACGCGAGTGGCTGTTCGTTATTCAATAATGCTCGAACATGTTATTCATTTATATGCAAAAGCTTTAATCTAAGTATTAATGTAATCTGTTAACTCGAAACTTTTCTCAACCGTCAATATTATTCTCCTTTGGTTCAGATTTGGCAAGGCAAGGTATTCTTAAATTCCTCGCATTTGGTAACATTTGAACATATCTAGAATGATAGATAGATAGATATTCAGTCAAATCGTCATGCCAGTTCACATTGATCCTGCATACAATAATTTGGGTGAACAATAAGTCGATGCGATCAAGGATATCCCCTAAAGAGAAAACAGCCAAGATGACGTCGAAATTGTGCCGAGACTCGACCTTTACTTATATGAAATCTCTCACCCTCATGGCTGAGCGAAAAAAAAAGAGAGGAAAAATCTATAAAATACCTGATCGAGAGCGTAGTGAAGATGGTGAGTTTGGTTGAGAGTCGCCGTAGTTAATGTATAATTAGTAACGTGTATTATCTCTCCCTTCGTCCTTTCCTCCCTCTTCATGCTCCCCCCCCCCGCCCCCCAAAATTAATCGCTTTCCCTTGCCTTTCCCCCAATTGCCTTCCTATCCCCTTTCCCCTTCTCGCCCCCCCCCCTCATCTCCCCGCCCGCTCTGGTCGGGGTCGGATGACAAGTGTACAGTCAATATAGGGGAAGGGCGCCACTCTGGATTATCCACACAGTCAATTGAGCATCTAATATTTCTTAATATCTCCACCTTCTTCCACATTTCACTCCCTAAATCAAACTCACAATACGAAAACTAATAAATAAACTCACAATCAAACAAAAAATATTAGGGAAATCGATGTGTTGCTCCCTGGACGAGGAGTTGATGAGGCGAAAATGTGAAGCAGAAATCTGTTTGATAGCGAGTGAACGCGGCGTGACGAACAAGTGGTGCGGCGTAGCACGTGCTGCCCGCCATTAACCCACATTATCCTTGTTTATTCTGTCTTGTGGTGGACCCGCTGCCGTCTGTTTGTTGGTTGATTTTTATTGTCGGTACCACCAGGATCGGAAGCACGTGTCTAATCTCATCTGAAAAAAAATCCACTAAGATTAACCTGCAGGCGGAGATAGCCAGCAAAATCCGACTTAAATCCCACACCACTGCTATAAGACGCTGGTATTTTTTTACAAGACCCACAACAATGCCAGACACAACTGATCTTGAATACTTTAGGGATCACTAACAAAAAGTAACAACACTATACCGGAAATTTTTAGGTGATTGTCACTCGGAAGTTGAAACAGTTTGGCACGATGATAACAAATCTGTGTGTCAGTATAGTAGACACACACACACACACACACACACACACACACACACACACACACACACACACTGCCACTTGCTTCATCCTTCATCAGTTCATTTTGTAAACTTATTCTAAGTTCAAAAAAGTTAATATAAACCACTACCAATCACCATAACCACTATGCTGTCACCATCACCACCGCCAGTCACTACTAGCGCTTCATCACTCATCACCTGTCACCATGCACCACTTTATCACCACCACCAGTCGACACCTCATCACACTACTACCACAACCACCACAACGCCATCACCACACTACCACCACCATCACACCACTACCACTACAGTACCTCACAACCACCATCACACCACTACTACCAACACCATCACCACACTCCTACCACCATCACCACACCCTTACCACCACACCACTATTACGATCACCATTAATACCACCACCACCACACTACCACCACCACACCAGTAGGACGACAGCAGGAGGGGTGGGAGGGGGTGAGACTGGCCTCCAGGCAGCTGGTGTGTACCACGTGCGGCCCAGCTGACACTCTCCCACGCTTGTGCATCAGTATATAGCCGCACGCGCGTGCCACGTGCCCACACTTGTACCTCAGGGGCCAGCACGTGCACGTCGCATTATAGGACACCCGAGGGACGTGCAGAACCTGACACGAAGACGGAGGAAGCCGCAAGAGATAAGGGTGTGAGCTAAGGGCGAGTGAAGGGGAGTGAGAAGACGCGGGTGATAAACAGTAACAAGAGAGGAGAAGCAAGAGATAAAACAATAAAGAAAGCCAATCGTAATAAGAAGATAAGATAAAAAAAAGTCAGAAGTAGCAGTGGCGGAGTGGCATGACTGTGGGCGTGATGGTAGGCGGCCATGGGCGTGAATGGGCCGCTTGTGTTGCCCCGACTACCGCCCACTCCGAGTCGAACACCGCCCCTGATCACTCCTGCACCCAAGCCTCCGTCCTGGCCCCGCCCGTCCTTACGCCCACATCCCCGCTGATGGTGATGGCCGGTACTGATCTCCCGAGGGCGGTATCGACTCACGCCCACGCCGCCCACGACCTAAGTGTGAATCTGACCCAAGATAAGTTCCTGCCGCAGCGACACCACCACCACCCATCCACCCTCAAGCTACAGGTGTGTGAGTCTAGCTGTCTCTTTACCTCTCTCTCTCTCTAGCTGTGTCTGTCTCTTTATCTTGGTTCGCCTCTCTTTGTTTCACTCTGTGTCTCTCCCTCATTTCGCTTACTGTCATTCTCTCTCACTTTGTTTCTTCGACTTTCTATTTTCGTTCTCTTTCAATTATTTCTGTTTATCTATATTTCTCTCTTCCGTCCTCCTACCTCTCTCTCTCTCTCTCTCTCTCTCTCTCTCTCTATTCCTCATTCTGATTCTTTTACTATGTGTCCCGAGTTCAATTTCTGTCCCGGGTCATATGTGAGAAGGAAGTTCGTTATCCAGTGCGACCAAACTAAACATGGCGGTTTTATTTCTTCAGGTACTTTTGTTTCCTCCTGTACTAACGCTAGACACCTAAAGTCCTAACAGAGAATTGATAGTCTGCTCTAATGGCCAGTAAGGTGATTAGTGTGTTTATCTTGGAATATTTTTGTTGATATATTATTCTATGTCCTTTTAATTTAATATTTTGTACCATTTTAATGTATTAGTTTTTGTGATAGTTATCTTAAAATATGAGTATTTTAGTGGTTTTAGTGTTTGTGATGTAAAGAAACTGTCTCCAACATACCGTGTCCGAGAGAATGTCGCTCAGTAAGGTGGTCGCTGGAGTAAGGTTTTCACTGTAGTAAGGTTTTCACTGTAGTAAGGTGGTCACTGGAGGAAGGTGGTCGCTGGAGGAAGGTGGTCGCTGGAGTAAGGTGGTCGCTGGAGAAGGTGGGCGCCATTTTTGTACATGTCATTACATCAAAGACAAGTTCAATAGTGACTCACATTGTTTTGGATCATATTTATAATTACTTGGAGGTTGACCTAAGACACGCTTATATATGTTGTCTATGTCACCAGAAGCAAATTAGAACTGACATAGGAATTTTACGTTCGTATCATTTTAAAACGATTACTTTTAGGGCACTCACCAGGGTGTGAACCACAGACCTCCTCACACTCTGTCTCTTCTTTCTCAGGTCAAAGACGGGATGCTGGTGGCTGCAGACAACGTTGACTTAAAAACATGGTTACCTATACTACCCCTGGCTACAGACGTTCATGCAGAAGCTGCCACTCTAACCTATGCTCATGAGCACCAGCAGCGGGAGGCTGGCCGGACAGCGCTGAGGGTGACGCTGACGAGGGTGGTGAAAGAGGGGGAGACGCCTCCCTTGTGGTTCTCGTCAGAGGTAGCCGCCCAGCTGGGTCTCCCCTTTTTGAACTTCTCCCACATAAGAAGTGAGTTATTTAACTTTATTATTCTTATTCTATGTCAGTTTGAAGAGCCTATTGACACCCTTCGTTTTTGTATCCAAAACCACAATTGAAACACGACCCTGGCAAGTTGATTTATTACACTATATACAGTACATAGTATTTCAGTCGTAGGCAATGATAGTTTCGTAAATTTAATGTCTCATTTTTAATATTTGACACAATTGTGGTTCTTGTAGACGGAGTGTATGTGTGTCCACACTGCGACCGTCAGTTCACGGCGCCCAACCCCCTCAAGCTCCACCTGGCGGCCCGCTGCGACACCCTGGCGTCGCACTTGCTGTGGGAACGGCTCTATTGTTCTCCCGCCCGCGTCACGCCCAAGCCTTGGTTCACGCCTCTGCTATCCCGCCTTTCTGACAAGACTTCAGTGTCTCAAAAGCCGCCGTTGCCACCTTCCCGAGCCACTAACAATTCCCCGGGGACGTCACCAAGCGTGTCAGGAGGGCGTAGGTCACCTGTGGGACATAAACCAGTGTCACCTGATTCCACCAGTTGTCATGTTAACACCTCCAGACCCACCTCACCCAGGTCCTCCCTCGTGGGGCAGGAACCCCGCTCCGCTTTCCGACGGGTGAGTAGCAACGTCGGGGGACGTCCAGAGGGACCTGTCCCTAGACTCCAAATTTTTCCAAGACCCCCAACATTACTGCCCCCAGGTCCCTCTCGTGGTTACTTTAGGGCATCTACGGTACACCCGCTCATCATGGGCGGTCCACAACCCACAAATGGCTCAAATTTATTATTGAACCCACGATTACTGTTGGGAACACTAATACCTAGTCACTCTCGCTCCCAAAGTGCCAGTGCCACCCAGCCCCTGATGCCAGTCATGCCACTGGCTGGGGCTACTCGCCCTCTCCTGGACGCGAGTCCTGCCGGGGGTACAGTGGACCCTTGTGCTGAAATGGAGACGCTGGTATCAAATCTGGGTCGTAGCCGACGCGGTCATCTTTGCCTTTACTGCGGTAAAGTGTACTCCCGGAAATACGGCCTCAAGATCCACATCCGCACCCACACAGGCTACAAGCCCCTTAAGTGTAAAGTTTGCCTGCGACCCTTCGGCGACCCCAGCAACCTGAATAAACATGTACGACTACACGCGGAGGGTGAAACGCCCTACCGGTGCGACCATTGCGGGAAAGTGCTGGTGCGACGCAGGGATCTCGACCGACACGTCCGTTCACGTCATCCCGAGGCCCTGCCATCCTCCGCTAACCCTCTCACGGATACTGATGATGAGGACGACATTCTGGAGGTGGAGAACGATGACTTCTCGGTACAAGCTGATGTCCTCGATGAAGCTTAGTCTACCCGGGTCTGTAGAAGCTGCTTACTGACTTTAGGGTATAGTTTAATTGATCAGATCACGCTCAGCTGTATTCAGCGATGAACCACAACATTCCCTTCCATAGAAGTACAAATCGCCTGGTCATGTTCATTCCTGTAGTGTAGAGGATGTTCCACACATTTGAAGACAAGCGCCAAATTTTATATAAAAAACTAAAACTTCTGAGATTGATTCTTCGGATACTTTTTATAACCAGTAACAGTACCGGTAGTTCTAGTCATGCTAAAAGATAATTAGGTAAGGTAATTTATCGTCCAGTGAAATTAATTATATTAATTACTCTTCAGTAATAATTTTGAGTTGCGCTCTAAAGTGCTTTACTAGTCTTAATTACTTTATTAATATTGTATTCTTGTATTATTATTACCGAGGTAAATTATTACTAGGTTGTGCCAACAGCACCTCACTTCCCTCCTAGTGGCAGCCAGCTGAACCATGATCAGTTAGTTCCCTTCACTTGTGTGTCCACGTGGTGATGTGTCACTGAATTGACCTAATAACGTGCCTTGTCATGTGATCTCTGACCTATATATGTGCCATGTCACCGGACTGACCTCAATACATATCCTGTGTCATCATGATCGAGTCCGTGACCTTGTTGAGTGAAGGTAACGACCTCAGTTCCTGTATACAGTAGTTAAGTGAATTGTGTGTACTGCTAGTGGGCCTTGTGACCTGACAATGCTCCTTCATGTGAACTTATAAGTATTCATTCCTGGAAATATTACTGGCGAACATTTTGACCAGCAATATTAGTTTTTTGAACACAACCTGTATGAGGGTTATGGCAGTTAATCGTCCTTGTTGTGCAGGTAAACCGTATATGTACAGTATATATTAACGTCAGTAGTATAGATGTGTACACTCAAGTGCCAACCTCCTGTGATATACCATTTATATCCCGATAATAGTTTGTATTTCTTTATCAAATACTTCATATGAACATTCTATATTTTGTAATATGTAATAATATTTTATTAAGACACCGTAGGACATATATATTATTTAAGGATATTAAATATTCATGTATTTCCCTGTTTTATTGACAAGAAAAACACACAACTAGACTAGATGATTTATTAAGCAACGTGAGACAAACTTGTTATACCGCCACCTAGGGTTTAAAACAACACAAAATGGAAAATGATTACTCTCATTCATATCTCGATAACTATACACTGATCCTTATTTCAGGTTTAAATAAACATTCGAACACAATAAAAGAAACACATAAAGATTTATAGAATATTTTTAGTGTTATCTTTTATATGACATGAGCTACAGGCAACGACTTATGGAATTTTGTACACACGGTGGCTGTAGCTTCATAATAAATACAGCACTGTATACAAAAATAAACACTGTGATATAAAAGCGGAATTTGCAAGTCAACTCCATGATGTGATTAATAACAACAACAACACAGCGTGGCAAGAAAATATAGAGATGTGGTGTTTCTTGTCATAGTAATTACTTGACATATTTAAAGTGCCTCAACACATGATTTATTTGACATAAACAGGGTATTTATTAAGACATAGTTAAAGCACAATGTTCTGTCATACAGCTTTTATGTGTGAAATAATCCTATAATAATACTAATACAGTATCTAAAAATAATAATTGTATCATAATTATCGATATTAAAACATACGATTGTAAAATGAACAACAATAATTATAATAATTTATACCTCTTTTATTGATGCTATTAACAGCAATACGACAGATAAAGAAATAAATAATTAGAAATCTGAATAGCATTGTGCTCATTTGTCACAGGAAAGAGGAGAGAATCTGTAATATCAAACGTGCATCACATTAAATCATTATTACAAATATCAATCATATATATCATAAATTTGGTAGTGAATTCGTGAATTTTCAGTAATGCTTAAAATTCACCTTTGGGTATTAAACAATATATGAGCTGCACCGTTAGAAAAGAATAGTTCGTTATTGGCAGTCACTCCATTGTACTGTACTAAATTTTGTGTGTGTGTTTCCAATTATATGTTTATCCATTTTTTTTAGTTATATCACAACTATATCTGTTTTATACTGAGATTATGTTGTTTGACGTTCTTTATTTAATTTTCTTAGTTAAGGCAAACAATGAGTGGTGTGTATAAAGATAGCTTTGTGAGTTACAGTATGTTAGAGAGTTACCAATATAATTTATTGCATTGTGGAATTATATGCGTCTTTCCTACATCATTACAGGCAATGGAAGTTATGGAAGGTGAAGAGGCAACACTAGGATTTATCAAATTATCACCACTACAAGGTAACACTGATTTATCACCACTAAAACTAGCTACCACTGCGCGATGGACGGTTGAGATTGTTTTGAGCACAGACAACATAATGTGATCACCTCTGTAACTCAGGTGTCACACTAAACATACTTAAATTTACTAAGTCAGTCCTATGATAGTAACAGATTAATGATGGATGATGATGATCCCTAACGTGGGTGAATATCTTACTAAGTTACAGTATTTCGAAAATATATAGAGATCCTTCAGACAACTGTCTCATCATACCTTGCCTGCATCACAGCCACAGTAACTGGGTTAAGGTCTCATAAAGCCATAACAAAGGAAGGTGAATATCATCAAAGAGAATCAATTTAACACGTAATATCATAATATCCAGCCAAGGTTCACGATCACAGTAACAGTGAAGTCCCCCCTCTCTCCCCAGCCCCCCAACCTCCAGTATACTTTGTCACTTCATCCACAGTTTCACTTCACCGCAGTTTCCAATTCAACAATCCTCTTCATTTGTCTTTTGATTTTTATATAGTTACAAACTTTTTGCTCAATATATACTGTACGTGTACAACATGTTGTATCTGTCACCCCCAGAGTCACGACGAGTTTCACACTGTAGCCCCAGTTGGGTATAATAATTTTCCTTGTTAATTCGTGTTTCTTCAAGTATGGGGAACCAGAACACTGTTTACTGTGTATTATTAAGTCTAAATTGGAATACATCTTATATCACAAAGTAATCGTAAAGAAAGATGGATTACAACTGGAATTCGCATAAAAATCGTTTATCAGTTCATACACTTTAAGCAATCGGTGTGTTATTGTGAATGATCTTTGGGCAGTGAATGGATGTGTATGTTAGTGACAGTTGTAACAGATAATTTTATTCTTCTAGCTGATGTGTACATACTGTAGAAGGTTATATAAATAAACGTAATACAATTTAACTAAATAGCATTGATACAAATTAACTTCGGCTAACCTCTCCTAACCTAAATTTTTTTTAAATCGTAGTGTTGAATTTACAAAGAATAAAGGTCATTGATATGAAGAATAATTTGTTTAACGTATACGTATGACAAAACCAAAAAGTTGTCCTAATTATTAAGTGTTTGTTGCGTTTCAAGGTTTATATAGTCGATTGGTTAAACCTAAATAGCGTACATAAACCGTTAAGAATTATTTATATTATTTGAGTACTAAGAAATAATTAAATCTTAGAAATTTACAGGTACACCTGAACGCTCCATCACACGGTTGTTAAGAACGAGGCAACTATTCTCCAAACCATCATAATTAGTGATAAGGAACCACAGCCACGAGCACCACACCGTACTAAGCTCCTCAGTCACTGCACCCCGCCTGTCATAGCCAAGACATGGAGCTGTTCCTGATAGTCCCTCCTGACGAAGGCAGAAAATACCAACGATCTCCAGAAATGAAGTCAGTTGAACTCCTGTGCTTCTAGACTGGTAGGATCCTTGTACCACTACATTTATTTTTGCACCATTGTGTATTCTTATAATTGATTGTTGTTATAACTGTATTAATCGCTTTGTTCAGCTTCTTTCCGGTCATGATGTGGATAACGTCATTTGAATTCAGTTTTTTTTTTCAATAACAACAAATACGTGTTTGTTTTAGGTTTTACATATATGCTCTCTCCTTCTAAAATTCACTTCAGTCCTCCCTTTATCCTTCCCCTGAACCTCCTTCCCCCTGTCACTGGCATTTATCTATCTATCATATATGCAAGTACTATCTGGGGTACTCGGCGTTGCCCGGGTTGGTTTTTGACGAAGTAAAATTAACCTAACCTCACCAAATTTCAGTTCTATGCTGTAAAGGTCAAAAGAACACAGATACACATAAACAAACATACTATTAACTACCCCTAGAATTAGAAGGGCAGCTCATAGCTTATCTCTGTCCTTGGATAAAATGAATCTCAAGTGCACAAAATATCCATATTGAATTTCAACTCTCGGTATTATAAACTGTGCTCGTGCATAGTGAGCAACCACACGTGAGAAGGGTGTAGTGATGTACTTCAGAGGAGGACGTGTAGGTTATCTAAGGCACTTGACACTCTGACTTAAAAGTAAATGTTATCAACTTTCAAGCATGTTGATTCATACTGTTGGTGGCACGAGTTCTTGACCCCTACTAACTCATGATGCACCATAAAATCTCTTCAAGTTTTCATTAAGAGACGATGTAAGGTGATTTATCAACAAAATTGGTTCTAATTACCCACACATACACAAACATTCACACTCACCAACACACACACACACAAACATTCACACTCACTAACACACACACACAAACATTCACACTCACCAACACACACACACACACACACACACTTTAATCTTGATACAAACTGTTTTACGAACTAATTAAGGCACTAGATAAGAAGGAATGACATTACTATATCACTATAATCATCACAATGTAAGATTCTTAATATCCTGCAGGAGAGGCCAGGATACAGTCAGTAGCTGAACGACTCAGTGTTCTGGTCAGTGTTCCTGTGACCCGAGGTTTCTTTTGTCTAGTGTTGCCAAGGTCGTCACTAGCGAGGAGTTAATGTATAATAAGGCAACGCTGTTTACTTGTTTCATACGCTAACCTCACTGACATTGTTACTGCACCCTGTTGCCAAGTTTCTTTTGATATTGTTAACATGTCAAAATCTCTCTGACGTCCCTAATTAGCTGATATCTCTGAAGTCACTTATATTTGTCGTTACGTCAGCGTCTCATCTAAGAAACGATTACTTAGAGAAACGGTTTACTCACTGAGGTTAAACAGAAGCGGCACCTACATGCACCATCGTCTGTCTGTTCGTAGCTACTGTATTTTCCTGTACATATATAAAGCAGTTATAACTAAATAACAATTCCTTTGTTTCAATACTCTCTTCATTTTTTTTTCGTCATGCACCGGGGACAAGTCAACACATATTGCATTTCCACATTATCAATCTAGTTTGCGTTATATTCTGTTCTAAATCTTCGTAATAATAATTTTATCTTCACTTTATCACAAACTGGCAGTACTGGCGTGAAGGTGAAATGAATATGTTTGTTATTATGATATATGGATTTTGAACTATTTTGAGCACAATGTTCAGGAGGTCGGTAACACTAGTGGTCCAAGTATATTTTCCACCGTAATATTTTTGTTGGAAGTGATAGGTATGTAGCCGAAGCGCTTCATCACAGGTGTACACGCACTCTGTACCACTTTTAACTTACTGGAGGGAAGTTTGGACACCCAGTAGGTCACTCTGGTCTTAGACTCACGCGAGGTACTCCATGGCTTATCGAAGTTCTTCGTCGTGTGGGAAACCAGAAACTCTTTTACTCGGGGGTCGAAGTCAAGACCAACATACTCCAAAAGTTCGTGAGTCTTATTAAGAGGTTCGAGGGACATGTCTTCATACCTGAGGATGTAGACCTTGCCAGGGAAGTCCTTTTGCATCTGCAGAGCCGTAGTAAGGTCGTCGTCCATGTCCCTGCACAGGTTCTCGGGGTTCTTGCAGTCTTCAGTGTGGCACCACCGGACGGTGTCAGTGCGGGAGTTGATCACACCTCGGGGGTCCCTCACCAGGTACACTATGCGGGTGTTTAGTTGACTATCTTCCAGAATTGGCCGCAGAAGTTTTAGTTGGAGTCTGACAATCTTCATAATGGACCACGGGAAGAGTTTGCACGCTTCCTTTAAGAAGACGTCATTGAAACATAGAGCGTCTCCCCACTCCTTAGTGTTGCAGGTATTCCACAAGCGGGTGTTGCGAGAGATCATTTCCTTGAGCTTCTGAGCCGTCAGTATATAATCCTCGTGACCTTCATACCTGAGAGATACATCATCACTTAGTAACCTTAAAGCAGAAAACATCGATTCAAAAGACCTTTATTTTATTTTTATTTTTATTATTATTTTTTTTTTTACGGGGATTCGCCCACCCGGGCACAGGTCAATGACCCACACCGGGGCCTGGGGGGCGAAAATGTAATAATAATAATAATAATAATAATTCATAGTAAATAAAATTTATAATAAATACAAAATTTAAAATAAAATAATAAAATAATAATAATAATAATAATAATAATAATAATAATAATAAAGAAACATAAAGAAATACAAAATGCAAGAAGATCAAATGTGAGAAACAATATATGTATGATGTGTTATCAATAGAAAGAGAAATAATTGAGATCCTGCAATTGTGTGTAAATGAGGCAGAAAGTCAGATGAGGAACCTGGGACTTGGTCACAATTTTCGTGATGCCATATGGCAGCAGGATCTACCATTAGACAATACATTATGCTTCCAATATCTACCCAGGCGGTAGTACCTCCCTGTTTGGTAGCTGCCTCCTACCTACAAAATTTATATTTGTTGTTGCTACATATATTGACTCCACCATACACAACACCAATGACAGTTCAGCCGAATTTAACAGATGCACAAAAAGTTGATTATTTAAAACTGAGGAATTTAATCTTCACAGTAGCTGAGATAAGTTCTGGAATTTCCTATGAAAACAGAAAGTGTCCCTTTTTCTAATTTGAAAGACAACGAGAGAAAAGGACACAGGACTGTAAGCAAATTATGATTTATATCTAGCTGGAGTATTGAAAAGAAAGGTACAACAGCCTCTTAACCCTGTGAGGACGATACATTAACTCTTTAAAGTATTAATACAATCTCTTGTGTAGGATGTATGATGACATGGTACTCACTCACGGGGTTTAGTTGACTCATCGTACTCAAGACGTTAAGAATAAGTACGAGCACAGTCATCACACTTACTTGCAGGACAAAAGATCGTGGACAGTTTCTTGTGCTTCGGCAGCGCCCGGAAGTCCCTCTCTGATCCGACGGAGGCCGAACTGCATAAGTGGCTCGTAGTGGTTGTAGACGGCCGGGTACGAGGCTAACAGCTCCTCCAGGAAAGTCGACCCAGAGCGCCACGTCGTCGCTATCACAACCTGAGCCATCGTGGAAAGCACAAACTGGAGATAGTGGGAAGTGTAGTTAGTAAGATCAAGAAATAATAGAAAGGTGAAGGGATCAGAACGGTACCAGCATGCAAACTACAAGCACCAGAACATTACTGTACCATCGTAAATGCATGCCTCTACAAGTACAGAACCAAGATATAGATTAAATTTTATTTAAATGCCTCCACAAGCAGTAAGAAATAGTTTACACCTTTTATGAATACCTCTGCAAGCATCGAGAAATAGTTTACACCTTTTATGAATACCTCTGCAAGCATCGAGAAATAGTTTACACCTTTTATGAATACCTCTGCAAACATCGAGAAATAGTTTATACCTTTTATGAATACCTCTGCAAACATCGAGAAATAGTTTACACCTTTTATGAATACCTCTGCAAGCATCGAGAAATAGTTTACACCTTTTATGAATATCTCTGCAAACATCGAGAAATAGTTTATACCTTTTATGAATACCTCAGCAAGCATACAGAAATAGTTTACACCTTTTATGAATACCTCAGCAAGCATACAGAAATAGTTTACACCTTTTATGAATACCTCAGCAAGCATACAGAAATAGTTTACACCTTTTATGAATACCTCAGCAAGCATACAGAAATAGTTTACACCTTTTATGAATACCTCAGCAAGCATACAGAAATAGTTTATACCTTTTATGAATACCTCAGCAAGCATACAGAAATAGTTTACACCTTTTATGAATACCTCAGCAAGCATACAGAAATAGTTTACACCTTTTATGAATACCTCTGCAAACATCGAGAAATAGTTTATAATATGAATACCTCAGCAAGCATCGAGAAATAGTTTATACCTTTTATGAATACCTCTGCAAACATCGAGAAATAGTTTATACCTTTTATGAATACCTCAGCAAGCATCGAGAAATAGTTTATACCTTTTATGAATACCTCTGCAAACATCGAGAAATAGTTTACACCTTTTATGAATACCTCAGCAAGCATACAGAAATAGTTTACACCTTTTATGAATACCTCTGCAAGCATACAGAAATAGTTTACACCTTTTATGAATACCTCTGCAAGCATACAGAAATAGTTTACACCTCTGCAAGCATTGAGAGAGGGATTTAGCACCAGGAAAGGATCAAGGCTTTACCGGTACATGTCAGCTACATACTGTATACTGGTGAAGACATACCGGTATACCACCTGCTACACCGGAAAGTGAATTAGAAGCATTAAAGAATGCTCCTGGAGATAGTAAAAGGTATTGTAGGTATCACAAACGAACAGCACAGGTGGAGTGAGGCAATGAGAGATCAACCAGAAGCTCATCAAGAGGTGAGTGAAGCGGCGCGAGGGAGTATAGAAGAAAAGATGGAGAGGCAGAGGGAGCAGTTACCACCTAGCATACCTTCACCTTCTGCAGGAGGAGGAAGAGTTTAGTAGTTGTCTTTAACACGATGATGACAGTTCTGTAGTCTTCATTGTTATCCTGACTGGTTTTAAATGTTATTGATTGGTGTAATTATTATTTACGATCAAGGGTTACATACGGTACGTGCTTGGCAGTGAGAAGGAAGGGAGGATGGTGGCATACAACTCGGTGGATCTTTTACCAGTCAATCACCTGAACTAAACCTTCCAGCGAGAATATAATATAATATACTGTAAATACATAAAGAGGGAGAGAAAGAAAGAGAAGAAGATGGAGGTTTACCTTGAGCGGAGCAGGTCTGGGCTGTGAGGTTATGGTCTGGGCATGGATAACAGCCTTGGAGATGTCCGAGTACTTCTTCCCACTGATCTCCTCCAGTAAGGTCACCTGATCAACCATATATATTTATGTACATATAAAAGAACGAAAAAAAACCATAAATTATATTAATGTTTACATACGTGGGTCAATAAATATATTAACAAAGAAAACATTGTATATTTCACGATTTTTTTAATACATCAATTTTTTTATGGAATCATGGAGAGTGAACTGTTGTGTATGAATGTCAGGTGTCGCCAAGGTAAACGTGTGTATACCTGAGTGTTTTTATGATGTCTTATTGTAAGTGTGACCGAGATTTGGCCATGGTTGTGACAGCCAGGAGAGAGTCTGGCTGTCAGATCCTATGATGACGACTGTTTTTTTACTTTATTTATTGTCAGCATTATACAATCAAATCGTGAAGCACGGCTGATACACCTGCTGGGAAAGTGTTATGAACGAGGCTCCGAGCACCTGACGCACGATGGTGAATGGAAGTGAAAAGAAAAGTGAAAGTGGATCACATAGGCGTGACTGTTCGTTAGGGACAGTGTGGATACAGCACACTGTAAAATAAGCCTTCGGTACACAAGGAGACAGTATGCCCGGTACTGTACTCGACTGCATTAAATTCCCCAAGTTGTTGACCTAAGTACCCATTTACTGCTGGGTGAACTGGGAGTGCCCGGGAATCAAACTAACGACCCATAGAACAGGAGGCGAGCGCTGTAGAAGTAAACCCATATGCTGATGATGAGAGGATATTTTGGTGCCTGAACCTCTAGCATGTGAACCTCGAGCACTCGCTGTGGGTTCAGGGATAAACGTAGTCAAATGTGCAAACTTCCGATAACCTGAAGATTAATGTCACTCTAGTTTAACACAGAAGTGCCACAATAATCATACAGCAGACTGTTATTCTGACTGACATTACAGTGACCAACGCCACTCCTTTTTAGTAGGTAGTAGGTAATAGGAAGCTATCAAACAGGGAGGTACTACTGCCTGGGAAGCATAATGTATTGTCTAATGGTGGACCCTGCTGCCATATGGCATCACAAAATTGTGACCAAGTCCCAGGTTGCTGATCTGACTTTCTGCCTCATTTACACACAATTGCAGGGTCTCAATTGTTTCTCTTACTTGACAACACAACATACATACCGTACATGTATATTGTTTCTCACTGCAGTATTGATTTTTTTTTTAATTTTTGTATTTATGTATGGCCCTTTATTATTATTATTATTATTATTATTATTATTTTTATAATAATAATTATCATCATTATTATTATATTATATTTTTATTTAATATTTGTTATAACTTTTCTTATTAATTTTTATTAATTATTATTAATTATTATTATTTTATTTTCGTCATCAGGCCCTGATGTGGTTCATTGACTTGTGCCCTGGTGGGCTAATCCCCCCCCCCCAAAAAAAAAACCTAAATGGGTATTTAGAGTTAGGTAGTCAGGTAAGCAGCGGCAAAACGTAGGACTGGAGATCTATAGAGAGGTCAACATGTTGATACTGTTTTGTGAGATGGCTCAGGTTCTCCCTCGACAGACTACAGTGTGACAGCTTCTAATGTTGAGGCAACATTTCCATCTACTACATTACATCACAACAAGGTGACCACGAAGCAGATGGACAATACGGTAGTCATATATTGCATTTATTTTCCAAAATAAATGTTGTAACTTGAAAGAACAGTGAAATCATAATTTTCAATTGTTGATGACTTTTGTAATGGTTTATCTGGTATACGCATTGAAAGAATTTAACTGTTAAAGCGGAGTAATGCATTATAACGTTAACATCAGCTTACGTGAACGGTGATAATAACAAATAGCATCTTTAACATTTGTTATTTACTGTTTCGATCTCCTCTGAGTAACGGTTCGTTTTTACAGACCTTAGTTGATGAAGCACAAATATATTTAGAAAGAGCAGCAATCCTTCATTCCCTATATGAAATAAAAAGAAAATAAGTACATTGGTTGTATACCAGCAATGTCTATGTACACATGCTGATTTAATATGAATTTCTATGGTGATTTTACCAATTAAAATATCTAAGCTTCTTATTCCCTTAAGCCCCGCCCACCTATAACAAGACAATTAAGGCAGCCAATCAACAACGGCCAAATAGGTCATGAGGTATGTGGTGTGGGGCGACGCGAAGGAGGAGCCGCCACTCATTACTAAAACGCTGCTTGTGTCCACCCGTGTGCGTGTTTCGGAGCTTATTTCTCATTTTTTTTAATATTTCAGTAACATTCACTTTGTTCTCTAGTAATGGTGAATATGTTCCCTCATACGGTAGCAATGAATCTGAAAAATTGATGAATAGCAGTGATATAAGAATAATGAAAAGTGCAAATTCTCGTGTTCATTCTTGTGATAACAAAGGCTGCTAACCCGGAGACATGTGAGATTTTACAAGGAAAGTTTGAAGCTTTGATTGATGCAGGTGACAATATATCAGTGAATGAAAAACTTTTCTTGTACAAGGGAAAGTTGCCATTTAGGATTTGCATAAAATTAAATGTGAAATATTTTGAAGGAAACTTTTCGTCAAATGCCTTAAGTAGTGAAGACTTATTCGGGCACACTTGGAATTTTGCCTGGTGTTATGATAAACTATTTCGTGACAAAACCTTGTACTTGCTGGCCTTACAGAAAACTACTTTGACCGAGACAAAACGTAAAGGCAGAGGACCACCAACATCTGTAGTGAATTAACACTAGAATTCTAGACAGTTTTGTAGTGTATGCTAGAAAAGACAACTTAATGTTTGTGAAATGGAAATATTAACGAAAAATTACGATTGACTATTAAGTACATAACAAATATAGTTGAAAATAAACATTGTAGGTTGGCGAAAACAATTGATATATTCTTATTCGAAAATATAACAAACTGGTTGTTGTTACAGACTTAAGTGATCAACGTTGGAAACCACATTATTTAGAGAAGCTTCGTTTATCAATGATTATGAGTGATCCTAAATGCCTTCTCAGTTACAAGAAAACTAATTATCTTAGTGCTAAACTAACAGATGAAAAATCAGTGATTACACACGGTACAGGGTGACAATAAAACACTTCCTGTATACGCTGACTTTTCTTAAGCTGGTAGTTGTCTTGATCACTCAGTCTGCCAAGTGAGGAAAGAATTCACCCACGACCTGAAGTAAGACATGACAGTGCGTCACCCACTGCTAATAATAATTACCCAACCAAATAGTTTTGTGTGTGCATTTGACAGAAGCTGAAACAAACTTATAAAAGCGTATATGGTTTGTCCAGGTACAACCTTCCAGTTCTCTGTTTCACAAGTGGCTTGTGTTAGCTCCCCAAAGAGATGTTCCAAAACCCAACATGATGGAAAACTCGCCTATTAATCATTCTGCAGTCTACATCGCTGCATATGGTGAGTAGACATTGTATATTAATATTTTTGTATAAAAAGTGTTTGATTATAATTTTAGTGAATTATTTAGTGATCTTCGATTGCGCACAATCTGCGTCCACTAACATATTTACCATTATTTGCCGTATCATTTACTTTAACAGTATAGGTTATCTCGCTCTGACGTCACGCCATGCTATGTGACTTGTCATCAAGATAAACAAATGTCAATTTTCATTTCACATGGCCTCCGAGTGGGTTAACATCGCCAGCTGTGAGAAAGTTTTTCAAAGCTATAACTAGCGAGGGCATATGTGACAGGCTTAGCTGTCTTGTTAGTTGTCATCAGGGAAACCTGATCAAGGAAAAGACTTGAAAATACACACGGTCTCGGGTTCGTAGACTATCTCACCTATTATAAGCAACTGTGTTGTTTTGTGATTCTGTAATGTCATTTCGTTTTCTAAAGCTGTGAATTGTATAAGTTGTCTTATATGTTTTGGGTTTCGTTGTATTTTGTGATATAACCGTTGAAATTACGTCCATTTTGGGATTTTGAGTTTGTATTTTGTTTTCATTTTGTCCTGTTATTCACTTCTACCCCACCCACTCCACCCTACTCTTAATCTCCACCAAGATGTCACCAACTTGCTCCCCCCCCCCCCCTCATAGGACACTATGTGGGTGCTGACCTTGAGAGACTGAAGGGCGTGGTCTATCCTGGTGGCCTGGACTGCTCTTGGGTTACGGGTGGACTCCAGGAGCTGCAGCACGTGTTGTAGCTCCTTGGCGTCCAGCTCTTCGAACTTGGAGAGCAGCTTCTGTTTTATCTCCATCTCCCTCCCCTGTCAGGTAGTGGAGGAAACGTTTACACGGCGGGACAGTTATGTTATACCTTAATGTTGACAAGTTTTTTTTGAGATGGGAAGAAGGCATATAGAGGATTAAGCCATGGATGTCAAACTCATAAAAAGACGTGAATTTGATGCACATTATATATCAATTACATTTTTATTATTATTATTATTATTGTTATTATTATTATTATTATTATTATTATTATTATTATTATTATTATTATTATGCCCAACAAACTGCCTGCCAAAGCGCTTTTAAAATGCATTTTGTACACAATGGTAAAACTATCTACCACACAGAGACCGTTGTATACAATGTCCATCGACAGTGTCAGGAAGAACCGCTTTTTCCAAATAAATGTTCAAACAAAGTGAATTTGGGGTTTTAAATGATTTTAGGGTTTATCATCCGACGGCACCATTTTACCCTTGAATTTATGTATTTTGACCTAAAATTTGGCATTAAAAAATGTTGACGTTCTTTTTATTCGGGACATCGGTTATGGTGAATAACGGCGAAAATGATGACCTACAGGTAACCTCTCGAGTCATGGTGAAACTGTTGCTGTGTTTGCGTCAGTTAGCCTCGTATGGTAAGGAGAATGGAGCAAGGCGCCCTGAGTCTCACGTTACACAGCCTCACTTAAGTCAACGCCTTGGTCATGTTCACATTAATGTGAGTGTTTTTATATCTTATAGACATATTATTAAGTCAGATTATGTCAGTTACTACGATAATTGAGAATAACAAATTACACTTCTAATGTGTTCATAGTATTTATCTTTAATTCTGTTGTCAAGAGGAATATTAGTACCACGTGTGTTCCTTATTGCTGAGGATCTTAACTGTATCTCCCAGTAAAACGTTATTACCATGATGGAGATCACCATTATGCAATCTATATACATATACAGTACAGTGCTATGTAATTTTAATTCTGAAAATACATTACAAATACATAAAATTAATACAGTTTAGAAGACATTCCATCATCACAGGCTGGGTGAGCGTGTGGTTGCAGTCACTTGACAGTTCGTCTATTAATATCTCACTCCTACAGGGGGTTCAGGCGAAGCCAAAACAGGAAGGAAGTGCATATTAGGCAGGTTGAGTCTCGCCTTTATTTCTTATAATTTACATACCGCAAACGTAGAAAAGCTATTTACTTTATCAAAGGAAAATACGAAACAGCGATAACTTCTAAATCACTTGGTAATTGTAGTGGCTGATAGGTACAGTAATATAAACAATTTATACCTAATTACATAAATTTTATCTCACCTCGATATCTTCGACATAAGTGGGCTAACTTTAACCTTTTATAATTTCTCTTGAAAAAATATATAACAAAAAACGCGCATCGGTCTTACGAGGCGAGCATTTCTGGTGTAAACTCTCAATAAAGTAGTTGATCCGTTACTGAGAAAATCTTACTCGCGGGCAATTAGAGGGAACCTGTTACTAGGGGAGTTAGCACGTGACGTTCCCCAACAGGGATCCCCTATAGACGGGGAGCGCTCGGGCAACACGACTCGTAACTGGGTGTCAGAGTAAAGGTGTTGGTATATAGAGTGGTGAAGAGATTGTGTTCCCGGAGGTTAAATGAGTGTTGTTTGCACCTCCGTAGTAACTGTGTGACAGATGAAAGTCGAGGGTAAGTATTATAACGTGGAGGGGCCGTCACACACGATTAACACAGTAAAAGGAGGACTAGATTTTTTTTTATATATATATGTCCAACTTAAGTAAAAAAATGTCGGACAGACGCACACCACGAGAATTGAGCGGACTGACTATCGAAGGAAACACTTTATATACCGTCTGCTGATGGCGGCAAACATAAAAAATTCACAAGGCAAAATTAGAAACTACCAACAGTGATCAAGAACCTGAGACAAAAATGTGAAAAACTATAAACATTGGAGCGCGCGCCGTGGTGTGGGTCGATGTGTTAGCCACTCGGAACCAAAACTTCTCTGGGAAGAATGTGGACAACATTAGTGTTCTACAGATATACCTTGTTAACTGCTAGGAATAAACTCTTTATGTTGTGAAAGATTAAATGTTGACATAGACGAAACACACCTCAATCTTTGGTCAACTTTCGTGTTTTAAATGTCGATCGAACAGAGTCCATCAGAGGGGTTTAAACATTAAAGAGAAGCGCCAAGAGATCGGTACAAACGTTGGTATAAATAAACACATTAGGCCACCTGGCAAGGGTTACACTGTAGTAGAAACCAATTAAATTAATGGTGCGGAATAAATATCACAATAATAAAATATCTGGGAGAAGTAGGAACGATAAAATGAAGACTTAACAAAGCTAATAGTAAGCCTAGTAAATGTAGGAAAAGTGTTATAGAGACTTGCGAAAATTAGGTTAGTTGTTGGAAGGTAAACTAGGCGAGAATTAGAGCAACTTGATACTACAAACTATTAATTAATTTGGTCATTTAAGGGAATGTGAAGATCTGAAGAGATCTGTAATAATAACATTGCTTAATGAAGGCAGTAGACCAGGTCACCTGCTGCGAGCTTGAAATATCCCCTCCACTCGGTTACAGCAGAACACGTGTGGCTCGGCAACTAGAGTGAGTGAATGACAGGAAATGAGAGTTGTGTGTCACCCTTTGTTACGGCCATCTTGTATGGCGGGAGACGACTTGACAAATTTAATATAGCACAAGATGGCATCCCACATATTCACGCTCCAAAAATTTCACGCATCCATTCTTCTTGTTTTAATTTTCTATCTCATTAAAACTTTTTGTTGTGATTTGAGAGGTATTTATGCAAAACGGTGTACTGATATACTTGTTGGTATGTAAGTAACATTTATCATTACTTAATGTCTTACTGTGACGCATAGTTAGATCTTCCTATGTAAATTAATCTTGATTAATTGTGATTTTTGGATACGTGCGTCTTTTTATGCTGCTTCCATCCCTTCACGTATACACCGTGTCCAGATGTTGTCATACCAGGATTAATATAGAGTTAGGGATCATTACCGCCTTTAACTTCACCTTATCTTCGCATAATCATCGCTTCGACGTAATTAAATTTTCTTAGTATAACCATCGCATATCAAACACTATATTTTACTGGTCTTGATCAGTTGCGTAAAGAAAGAAAAACTGAAAGCGACTGAAGCCATTATATCATTCATAGGCAGAGACGCACTGAATGTTCACCTCACAGCGGGTGGCCATCGTTGACCTGGAAATGTGATGACCTTGCACCTGTACACATTTTTCGGCCCTAGCGCAGGTTGAAAAAATAAACCACTGTGGCAGGCGTGTGTTTACAGTAAACTCCATTATACTACCAAGCGTTGCGATATATAGGTGGAGGTTGATTTAGCTGCTCTGGTGTTGACAGGTTCCGCTCCTTTCACCTCTACTGCCGCCACCCGTGGGTCCGTGAAAGTATTGGGTAGTTCCCCATTTACCTCCTCCAGCTCTGCCAGTCCAAGACGAAAAGAAATAGAGATTTAGAACCCAATTACAAACAATATTGTAAACATTAAAAAGATTGACACAAATAAGAATTACACCATAAGTTACATTAGTCATAGCTACGTTAACAAGATGTGCTAAAAACTTATGTTAAACTTAAAAGTACTGATAACTAACATCCAGAGTAAAATTTCAAGTAACAGAAGCTCGAAACTTAATCCTAAACACAGATATTCACAGATGAACAAGTTTGTTAGAGTAATCATGGAGCCGAGGAGTGGCTGGACGGTTGGCAGGGAGCGTCTCAGGTGAGACCAAACTGGACAGGTGTGGTAGAGGTTGAGACTCACCTGGGTGGGCGTGGTTGGTGATGATATGTGAGGCCAGCAGAAGACTCACTAGCAGCAGCACCAGCAGGAGCCGCCGGCCCTTGCTGCCAAGTACCCGCGTCTGCGTCATCACGCTCTCTAAGGCACAACAAACACCCGCGTTATTACTTCAATTGTGGGGAAATTTTGGAGGGAAGAAATAGATATTGTCTTTCTGATTTGGTAAAATATTTTAAAGCCATTTTTTTTAATTATGTGGAGTATTATAGGAAGGAAATAATTGTTGTTTCTTTAGAGAGAAGAGAGGGAGCAGGGGAGGAGAGATCGAAGAAGGAAGGAAATAGAGATCACAGAACTTATCCCGGTAAGGTTAGGCCGCATTAGTTTAGTTAAGGTAGGTGAAGTGAGGTTAGTTTAGCTGAGGTTAGACTTGATTGGGTTGTCGGGGTAAGTCAGAGTATGTTCGATTTGTTTAGGTTAAATTATGTTAAGTTAGTTAGGCTCAGTAAGGTTAGATTTGGTTAAGGTTAGGTTAGGTTAGGTTAGGTTGGTGCATGATATAAAACCCATCTTATCATTTAGTAACACTGAAATCTGCGGAGGATTACAGCCACCCTCCAGCCTCCGTGTCCAGTGTGGGAGTGGGAGACATTTAGGTGTGGGTGTGGGAGACATCTAGGTGTGGGTGTGGGAGACATCTAGGTGTGGGTGTGGGAGACATCTGGGTGTGGGTGTGGGAGACATCTGGGTGTGGGTGTGGTAGACATCTACTGTAGGTGTGGTTGTGGGAGACATCTGGGTTTGGGAGACATCTAGGTGTGGGAGACATCTAGGTGTGGGTGTGGGAGACATCTAGGTGTGGTTGTGGGAGACATCTGGTGTGGTGTGAGGGGTGGGTGTGGGAGACATCTGGTGTGGGTGTGACATCTGGTTGTGGAGGTGTGTGGAGACATATGTGTGGAGTGTGGGGTTGTGGGTGGGAGACATCTGGTGTGGGTGTGGGAGACATCTAGTTGTGTGGGAGAGGGTGTGGGTGTGAGACATCTAGGTGTGGATGTGGGAGACATCTGGGTGTGGGTGTGGGAGACATCTAGGTGTGGGTGTGGGAGACATCTGGGTGTGGGTGTGGGAGAATGACCTAGAGACCAAACATAAGGCTCCGTATTTTGCTGACCTTTAACCCAGCAACATGTAGGGTATTCCCGTGTCCAAAATAAATGAGACATACTAAGATAAATGAATAAACAACAGCATAGAGAAGACAATATTATTTTGCAATCTATATTAAGAATGGTGTACAGTTTTTGGTTCTTCCGTCGTGGAAAAAAAAAATATATATACTGTCACGTATTTTTTTAAATTTGTAAAATTTCTGGGACCTGCTGGAGTTTTTCGTTTGACTTTTGATCTTTTGAAATTGGGGATGGAGGCTGAAGGCTGTGTTAGGCTGTGGTTATTTCTTTCTGGTTTCAACATGACTGAATGAAACTTAGATGTATTGTGACCGTGACATTTCACATTTTGGCCCTAAAAAATAAAAGTATCTCTCGGGGTTGTGGTTATTATAATTATATACTGTACGTCAAGCATAAATTTTGTAAATCAGACAGACAGTGACAGATACAGCCGAGTGGCCGTACAGCCGAGTGACCGTACAGACAGGAACAGACCACAGTAACAGCAGTACTCAATGGACCTCGTCAGTGTGGGTAATAAAACAGCAATAAAAGTCTTCCTAGCCACCGGTCGTCGGGTATCGCCATCCACCCATGAGTTATAGTTGGGTAGTTAAGACACAAGCTTGTGACAACATAAACGCGTCGTGTTGGTGATATCTGGTGTCATCTGCCTGTCAGCCATTGTTGACAGGAGACTCCTACAGATACCGAACTGTGGTCAGTGTCTGTGTGTACTAGTGGTAGTTTGCTCGTCTCAAGGTACTGTCTGAATGCAACTCTCATGGGTTGTAACTTGTCACTATTTTTATCCTTTACGGTAAACAGCTCATAGAGTGCAGGATCCACAGGTGACTGTCTTAGCACAATGAGTTAGATATATCAGACGGAGGGAACACGCGAATTCTGGCAGCACGTGTTCATCCTGTTCGCTCCAGGTGTTCACTGTGCAGGAGCAACGTGTAAGAACTTTACAAATGAGCACCCTGTCTTGTTACGGTGACTGCCAGAAATTTTTATTATTTTTAATGCATAGAGGACTTTATAAATATTATATTGAAGAAAACGGATATATTTATTTTCACTAAACCATGATGTGAGTGTTGTGAAATTGAATTGTCAAATAAACAATAACAATTATTTCCTCTTAACATAATAGTTCCCAACACTACGATAATTTAACCAAAACAAAATGTAATACTGGAGAGGCATATCAAGTCTTGTGTGACTGAGAGAAGCATTGGTAGGTGGTGGAGGAGGAGTTTAGTTCAGGGGAGACATTCCTGTACAGCTTTACCGGTAAGTCAGTGGGTGTGGCGGAGCGCTGAACCCAGAGATTGTACAGCCTCCGTGCGTGGCTCTCACTCCTGTCAGGGGATGAGGGGGCAGGGAGGTACAGTACGCTAGCAGACAGAATGGGGAAATTTTAAACTATAGTGGCGAAATTCTTATTATTATTTTGTTGTGTTGCATCATCAGTAGTGAGATGCCCAAAGCGTTTAGTTTACCACACCAGTGACTGATGTGGGACATTTTGAGGATCATAATTCACGAATGACTTTACACAATAGGGGTCTGTGTAGATGAGATAAAAGGTGATACAGAGCAGATCAGGTCAGCTGGGTGTAGCCTGATCCACTACTCAGAGAAGTGTTGGCAGGTTTACTTTGATGACGTTGACGTGTTGTTGTCTCATATCTACATCAACATTTAATACTTCGATCTATAATAATCTAAAAAATGACGTATTGTGGTGTCTGTAAGTTGTTTATAAGTTCTTAAGTCACGCCTTCTACAGGTAGGTACTGGTAGAGGTGCGGGAGACCAAAACACTGACAGATCAAATGAGAGAAAATCAAATATGCGTGTTTGGAGTGTAAGTGGAGGAGAGTATAGCTGGTGTGTGAGCCAAACAGAACACTCATAGTATACCACATGGCCACTACACTATGCGGGAGTCTGAAATGTTAATAAGAGAGTTAATCAATCACTGTGTGTGTGTGTGTGAGGGCGGCTTTGTAACATTACACCTCCCAAAACATCTTTCACGCCCCCCCGCCTCAACAAAAAGGTGGCAATTGTATGTGTCTGTTTAGGTGTATAAGGATGTGTGTATGTATGTGTAATTTCTTGTATGTGTAGGTATGTGTAACTTCTTGTGTGTATGAGTAATTTCGTGTGTATACAGTATGTGTGTGTATGAGAAAGCCTGGCATCAGTACGTGTGTGTATCTGTGAGTGTATGAACAAACCTGGCACCAGCACGTGTGTGTCTGTGTGTGTGTGTGTGTGTGTGTGTGTGTGTGTGTGTGTGTGTGTGTGTGTGTGTGTGTGTGGTGAGGCAAGAGGTGGCAGATAGGAGGCTGGTCCACGTGGTCACTATATTTATATATATATATGAAGCTCTCTCGTCCCTTCCCAACACCACCCTGGTCACACCACACACACACACACACACACACACACACACACACACACACACAAACCTAAATATGCATACAAATACAAACAAAAAACTCATGCATTCACGGACATGCACATAAACAAGCAAGAAGCCAAACAAGGACACTCACTTGAATAGAAACAAACACGCAAACCAACGCATTCAAGTGTGTGTGTGTGTGTGTGTGTGTGTGTGTGTGTGTGTGTGTGTGTGTGTGTGTGTGTGTGCAAAAAGGATGAAGGGAGAAGAGCCACTAAAATCATAATAAAGGGAGAGGGAATAAAGGGATGATCGAAGTGAAGGAGTAGTTGTGTGGTGTAGGTGAAGGACCAGCTGTGTGTATAACAAGGAATCACAAATAAGACCATTCCTCGAGCACTATGAGCCACGGTACACAACAGGACAGGGATTGTGAGTATACCAGAGAGGAAGAGGAGGGGGAGGAAGAGAAGAGGGAGGAAGAGGAGGGGGAGGAAGAGAAGAGGAGGAGGACATTTACAATAAAGTCCTTAAATATCAGTCTGACATGAAGGGAGGCGAGAGAGGGCAACTGTGAAGTGAATTGGATTGTGAGAAAATTGAGTGACCCGGATTGAATCGACGTAGAGAGAGAGAGAGAGAGAGAGAGAGAGAGAGAGAGAGAGAGAGAGAGACTAGACGTTCGTGAAAGTAAGTTTGTTAGTTGAGTTGCTAGAGAGAACTGAGAGAATGTGTATGTGTGTGTGTAGAGAGACATAGGGGTGAAGAAGGGAAGAAGAGAGGGAGGAAGAGTGAGAAATGGATAGAGTGAGAGAGAGGGAGTGAGTTAGAAAGGGAGGGAAGAAGGAGGGAATGAGAGACGGAGGAGAAGGGAGTGAGGGAGGTGTTGGCGAGCAGTACCTGTGTTTTACCTCACTCAACATCACCTTAATGGATGATCAGCCCTCAACACCACTAATAACACGGCACCGTCTGTTTGCCTTATGAAGAAACCGACCCAACCCGGCCCGACCCAACCCAACCCAAGCTAACTTAAGCTAATGTAATGTAATATATCCTAACCTAACCTAACCTAACCTAACCTCGAACTCTGTACAGCTAGGCAGATGGGGAAGAGGATAGGCCGTTAGGAGAAGAAGAAATAACCGAACAACAAAAATAAAATAAACAAATAGCCGATGGAAATTCCACCTAATGTTGTATCGACCATGTCAATTTTTGTAGTTAGTTTGGCCATAAGGTGACCAGTGGAGAGTAAGATGGCCGAAGAACTGTGTTATATATTCCTCAAACTTAAAAGGATATAGCTAGTGTTTCTGAGGCCACCATAACACCGTGAAGCTTATTAATACAGTAAATGTTCAGTTCATCCTCGCGGTCTGGAAACCCTCACAGATGAACGTAATGAAATCTGAAGATAGCATGGCTGGCACTGCATTCAGCTTCCTCCTCTTTCCTCAGTTATAAAGTTAGATATACGGTACACATTTTGACTTTATGCTGTTATTACTACGCTTCAACTACTAAGGTCATTAAGTGCGTAACAAGTTTAATACCGGTACTTTCACGAGTCCATCAAAAATTACAACTTATAAGAGATATAATTACACATACACAGTTGGTGAAATAGAGGGGGGGGGGGGACAAACTAAGGACCCTGAGGTAGGCAAGCGGCGAAGTAGGCAGGTAGGGAGGTACTACCGTCTGGGAAGATATTGGAAGCATAATGTGTTGTCTAATGGTAGATCCTGCTGCCATATGTGACCAAGTCCCAGGTTGCTGATCTGACTTTCTGCTTCATTTACACACAAGTGCGGGTCTCAATTGTTTCTCTTACCATTGACAACACAACATACATATATCGTTTCTCACTTTTGATCTTTTTTTTCATTTTTGTATTTATAGTTCTTTATTATTAATATTATTATTATTACAGTTACTGTATTATCATCATTATTTTATTATTTAATTTTTGTTTGTTTTATCATAAATTTTATTTATGAATTATTATGACTATTATTTATTTTTATTATTATTATTATTATTATTATTATTATTATTATTATTATTATTATTATTACTATTACTATTACTATTACATTTTCGCCCCCCAGGCCCCGATGTTGGTCAGTGACCTGTGTCCGGCAGGGCTAATCTCCATAAAAAAAAAAAAGACCTTGGCCTCCGCGACCTAACCTATCTAATGACCTGTCACAGCCTCAGTTAGCCTAGCCATACCTGGTGTGTGGAGACAACCCCTGGCGGTAGGTGACACTGTACTGTACCATTTCCCTGTCCACCACTGACACGGTGTTGTACTGTTATCTGCGTCGCCCACCACGGATAGTAACACGAGTATATTTAAACAGCTGATAATGGCTTCTTTATCATTCGCGGTGCTTGTACTTGTCGTTTCATTAGTTTTATCCTCATGAAGAACTCGACACAAGGTGAAAATGTTCATAACTTCAGAAATGTTGAACTGATCAAAGCAAACCTAATCTTCGTTATCAGCAGAAGAGCTTAATTCATCCTTATTCCACAGACATTGATGGCTCACTGGTCTTGGTGGCCATCTTGAATTTACGAAAATATTCCGAAATTATATTTAAAGGTTTTCTCCGTCAGAAGCACATTACTAGTGAGTGAGTCAGTGTCCAGGAGGGGCGTGCAGTGCGGCTGAGAAAACGCGGCTGCCACCCCATCACCCAGCCTGAGTCCTTGAATATTAATGATTACCTTTTCAGTTATTTAGAGACAGTGACGTAAGATAACTTATGAGCATCAGTAGATAAATACACGTAGCGGAAAAAAACCCCGTAAATGACGTCACTGAACCTGAACTTGTGTATATCTAAACCGTAATAAGAGACCTGAGATCTTCACTATAGTTTCCGGATGGCAGCTGTTGGTACCCTTTGTAATATCACGTGGTATTTGGTATCCTTGTGTGTTATATAGTGTTAATATGTGGTATCTTATAAGGTGTTTGGTATTCTGTTAATTACTACTTTCATGTTTCACGTTTGATGTTATATGTTATGTTTCATCTTACGTTATCGTGTGTGATGAGAACATCGTTGTGGAAAATCTAACTTACCGTGGCCTGACTTGACCCGTTTCAGGCAAGGCATTATTGTTATGTTCTCAAAGCTGACCAGACGTGTGTATGATGTTTACAATGAGGGAAGATTTCTGACAAACTGACTAAGACTGTAGAGGGTAGAGGAACGTGCAGGGTTTGACAACGTAACATAACTGGATATAATGATGGCCCAGGGGCAGGAGGTTGGCGGTGTTCTGCAGGGACTTTACTTTGTTCCCATTCTATTTAGTGATACTTTTTTTTACTAAAATCTAGTCATATTAAAGCAGATATATTTATGTTAACTGTTACATAAAATATTAACTTAAAAACAGGTTGTGTTACTTAATATACAGGCGTACAAAAATAAAATATTTGCACCGCGGTATTCGAATCCCAAGGAGGATTATTTTCAGTGATAAACCCGAGGATGAGGCTGTGTGAAGATGAATGAGCGGGGGAGACCCGACAGACGTGTGCCAACTGTGTTAGCTGCCGTTCAGGTGCTGGGTATTATTATTACAACACGTGATCGAAGAGACTATATTAAACTTTAATGAATCCTCACTAACACGGCATAAAGCTATTTGCTGTGAGCTTAGAGCTAAAAATAAATATCCGAGGAGTTAAACAAAAGAACTTCACCGCTAAGAAGACTCGTAAACTAAACTTTGAAATAGTTATAGACTAAATCATAGAAGAGTCAAGGACAGACGCTGTGTTCTTCCCTGAGACGATGACAAGAGTATCCCGTGAGGCAGAGAACCCGCTCATAAAACCATCACTACGTCAGCTACAGCCCAGAAGAGGTTCCTCAATTGTGATATAGAAAGTGAGTCGTGTGTGGTTCATAGAACACGCCATGTGCACTGTACGGAAAATGTATCTCTGAAAATAGTGATCGAAAAGTCGCTGTGCACCTTCAGTAAATAACAGTATAGCTGTTCTTTGTTACTGCTACGTATACTGCATGTAGAGCAAGGTAAATAAATATACTGCTAATTATTGTAGATGCACAGAAACTTTTCGATATAATTGTTCCTCGTTATAACTACAATTACTGTAAGTAGAACAAGGTAAAGAGATATCGTATTAATTATAGCAGAATGCAGATGCACAGGGACTTTTTGATCAACCTGTACATGAAGCGATAGCCTAGTATTTGAGAGGGACTGTGTAGTGATTGTCGACAGATACAAGCACAGTAACGCTTGATGGTAATGGTGGTGACGGTGGTGATTGTTGTGGTAGTGGTGGTGGCGTACTAGTGTTGGTGATGCTATAGTAGTGGTGGCGGTGGTGATTGTAGTGGTAATGATAATGATGGTGGTAGGGATAATGATGTTGTGGTAATAATGGTGGTGATGGTGATAACGTTGATGGTAGAGATAGGGAAGATGATGATGGTGGTGATAGTAGTGGAGGACACGATAGCCTTCAGAACACAGCCTCCTCCTTGTACTGGTAGACCACCGCGGGCAACACGAGCAAGTCACTGTGGTCGGTAATTTCACGGCCACCAAGACACAAATATTGTTTAGCTGCGGCCGCAACCTTCACCACCTAAAGGACGACACCCCAGCTTATGTCAGGTTAGGTTAGGGTTAGTTTAGGTTAGCGTAAGGTTAGGTTAAGTTAGTTTAGGATTGGGTAGGTTATCGTTAGATGGGGTTAGCGTTACGTTAGGTTTGGTTAGGTTAGCGTTAGGTAAGGTTGAAATCTGTTGGAAAGTGGACTCAGGCGTTCATCTTCTTTACCCAATTCAACCTCAGCTACTTCCTGAGGCGTCGCTACACACATACTGTGTGTATGAATCCAATGCCAGGTTTATGAGAGCCACTTATAGGGAAGGAAGAGAGACGCAGGACAAGTAGGAACCATATGAGTTGGGGAAAAGGAAGTGAAAGAGGGAACAAAAATAAGTTCAGTTTTATAGAGAAGATGATTAACCTATGATATAGTATTGCTTTCTTCATCACCTTTGTCACTTTAATATACAGTACACAGTTACCACCCCAGGACCTGTGACACCTTAATACACAGTTAATTTGTATACTAGCCGGGGTTAGTAGTGTGGTTTACCTTGATGTAGTTCTGCTCTAGTCACCTGCCTCTCATTAGACCGCCATTGACCTGTCAAAACCAGAAATTGATCATGTTAGTAAATGTAAGATGTATATACCTGTATTTCCTGTCAGTCACATGCTACCACACTATACCAATACTATCACATACCTGTCTCTATCACATACCTGTCTCTATCACATACCTGTCTCTATCACATACCTGTCTCTGTCACTTACCTGTCACTGTCACATACCTGTCATTTACTGTCACATACCCGTCATTTACTATCACCAAACTGAGTTAACCTAACCTAGTGTAACTTAACCTAACCTAACCTAACCTAACCTAACCAAACCTAACCTAGTGCAACCTAACGTTACCTAACCTAACCAGACTAAACTGACTTAACATAATCCATCAGGGAATGACCTTGACGACAGGACGGGAGGAGGGTCAGGGGACGGAAGGGGGCAGTAGCAAGAGGAGAGAGAGAGAGTGGCTTTGTGTGTCATTAGGCTATGAGGTGCAGGAACGATAAACATTCTGCACGTAAACTAAAGTCTACTCACAATGTCTACACGTAAACTAAACTCTAATTGTCTACACGTAAACTAAACTCTAATTGTCTACACGTAAACTAAAGTCTACTCACAATGTCTACACGTAAACTAAACTCTCCAATTGTCTACACGTAAACTATACTCTACAATTGTCTACACGTAAACTAAAGTCAACACACAATTTCTACACGTAAGTAAATATAACACCATCAGTAAACTAACCAAGACTGATATACACACACGGTCTAGGACTACTACACTTTATGAGTTTGTTTATTCCTTATAATCAGTTTAGTGGTTTAAGCGATCATGGGTGGCGGTAAACACTGGCGAGGCGACGTGCAAGTGTGGTAGAGATTATGTTAGTATGTGCTGTGTGTCTGTCTCTGTCTGTCTGTCTGTCTGTCCATGTCTTTCTCTCACTCTCTAAAACACAGACACACACACACACGCGCAAGCACACACACACACACACACACACACATACACACACACACACATGCATGCTAATATACTAATTCACACGCAACTTGCCAGAAGAGAATGTCACTTCCTGTGTGTGTGTGTGTGTGTGTGTGTGTGTGTGTGTGTGTGTGTGTGTGTGTGTGTGTGTGTGTGTGTGCGTGCGTGCGTGTGTGTATATGTATGTGTGTGTGTGTGTGTGTTGTATGGAGGGCAGGGAAGGAGCGGCGTTGGCTTCATTAATGTTCAATTTGAAGTTATTAATAGTTTAAGAGGGCGACCACAAGTGTCCAGATGAGGGAGGAAGGAAGGGTGTGATGGTGAGGGGGGCGGGCAGGGAGGGAGAGGCGGTATGGGTGGAGGAGGGAAGGAAATTGGGCAAAGGGGGATTTGATGGAAAGAAGGGCAAGGGGAGAGAGAGAGAGAGAGAGTGAGTATCACTCACATCCCTATTACAGTTATTTTTTCTTATTTTTATCCTCTCCCCCAGCACTCCAACACCCCATCTCCCCATCTCCCCAACACCACACCTCCACCTCCCTCCTCCCATCTCCCCAACACCCAACACCTATCTCCAACACCTCCATCTCCCCCAACACTTCCAACACCTCCATCTCCTCCCATCTCCCCCAAAACCTCCCTTTCCTCCCATCTCCCCCAAAACCTCCAACTCACCCCCATCTCCCCAACACCTCCATCTCCTCCCATCTCCCCCAACACCTCCAACACACTCCCATCTCACGTTACTGTATCGTTAATTAATTTTAACATTTATTCCCAAGAAAAAAATTAACTCACCTGTAATAAACCCCTAAAATATATTAATACAGGTGTCTGGGTTAATGAGCACCTCATCATCATTACCATTACTAATTGGTTAATAAAATGGACTTGTGTGCGTTCGTGTGTGAGGATTTTTATTGATTTCTTTTTCAAGCATGTATGAAATATTATATAGTTACGAATAAGTTTGTTTTGTGTTGGCGAACTGCAGGTAAAAATTCTGATAGCGTACTAGGTGGCAGATTAATCAGGTAAGATAGAGGTAATAAAATAGTGTTTATCAAGTCGGTGTGTGTGTGTGTGTGTGAGTGTGTGTGGGTGTGTGTGTGTGTGTGTGTGTGTGGGGGGGGGGTGTGTGTGTGTGTGTGTGGGTGTGTGGTCGTTTATCGTCACACACACCCCCTCAGGCTACAACTGTGTCACATTACAGGGCGAGTGTCTGTTTATTTGTCTTGATCCCGGAAGATGATAACTGTTATACTCTTCTGACATGATATAGAGCGAAGCAAGAATTAGTGAACGGTTAGAACATCAGTTTCAAGTGGGAGTTAATTACTGTCACTTCCTTAATTATCATATTGTGTGTTATTATCTACCGTAACACCTGTAATTATATCATTAAGTGTTTGATAATCTCCAAGGTATACAGTGAGGTATCTCTGATGATGGTAACGTTACATTGTACTACCTGGCTAATGAACGGGGGGATTCTTGTTATTTACTAGTAACTGTTTCGTGTATTTTCTACACTAACATGTATGATAAAAGTTGTACTTACTGTAGTATGTTCCTATAGGTCAGTTAGGGGCAGTGGTTTATGGTGTACTGACTAAAATAAACTTTAAAATATATGATAAAGAAACAGTGTGACCAGTATTTAAATTCTCTTAGCCTGAGGACTGTCACCCTAGCCAGAGTTCTTACCTTCTTAGACTACGGTAGCCCAGGTTAAAGTTGTTATGGTCTTAGACTATGGTAGCCCAGGTTAAAGTTGTTATGGTCTTAGACTACGGTAGCCCAGGGTGTCGAGGCTACTAATCAATCTTGTAGACCTGGGACACTTGAGATGTTAGTTCCGGTTTGTAATAAAAAGTCAAAGCGAGTGTTGTTGTTAAGATTATGTTAAGTAACCCTGAAAAAATGCTTAGGAATTTGGCTTACTATCCTTGGTTGATTATGCCATGATATATTCTATCAAGGTATTGCTTCACCTTTACTCCAAGGTTAAGCTGCTTCTACAACAATCATACGCCATGCTTCTCTCGCATCTTGAGCTGAGACACGTGTCCCCTACCCTGTTATAACACCTGAATACAAAGTTGATTCTATTTTGCCCTGTACGGATTTGAGAATCATTGGGTGAGAGAGTTTGGTATTTTAACGTATTTAATATATTTTTTTTTGTATTGAGTATTTTTTTTTCCATTTTGTAGTTCCGATGTAACATGTGATAAAATACAATATTGTTAGATTTACACCAATCACATAATTGACCCAGAGGTGTAGGTCCCAGATATTGCCACATGTGTTTAAGGAATTTCGTCCGCAACTGTATATATTTTGGGTATACCTCCATTACTTAAAAACCTGCAGTGTTTTTGTATATATCGCATCAATCTGTCTGTCTATATCAACTTCTTATCACTATATCAACATGTTATCTCTAGAGTATTATAAACCTCATGTGCTTGTGGCTTTAATGACTTGAAATTACATGGTGGTCACGGTGTAATTTGCATATACTGTTTGATATTCATACCATTGTTTTATTACTTTAATTGTAGCGTTTAATAGTTCTCTCGTGTGAGCATTTAGCTTCTCTCCACTAGATCGATAGATAGATAGATAGATAGATAGATAGATAGATATTCAGTAAAAACATCTGTTATACGAGGTCACATTGATTCCACGTGTACATAGACATTGCAGGTATATAAAGTAACAATGTGTATAGTCCAAGCATTCACTCAAGGTATACAGCGCAGGTATACAAACAATATACACAGAAGATGCATATAATTTCACACCTGGCTTGGTCTGTTGTAATTGTTTTCCCTCACCTAGTTCCCTGCTGTGTGTGTGTGTCGTAGTTGGTCTCAGGGTTACACAAGAGTCGTAGTTCCCCGCTGTGTGTGTGTGTCGTAGTTGGTCTCAGGGTTACACAAGAGTCGTAGTTCCCCGCTGTTTGTGTGTGTGTCGTAGTTAGCCTGCAGGATACGTGTGAGTGGCGGGGATCAAGGCGACGTGTGATGGGAGGGACGCGACGCAGCATTATAAAAGGAGATTATCAAGGCAACACGACGCTACTGACGAGGTGTAACTACTACTGATGGTGGTGGTGTGTGTGTGTGTGTGTGTGTGTGTGTGTGTGTGTGTGTGTGTGTGTGTTCTAACACTGATGGACTTGGGAGGGTAAACATGACAACTACTATCTCTTCATCCTTCACTACTTTCCCTTCCTCAATAATAGCATCAATAACATCAATAATAACATAAAAAATAACATCGTGGGTCTATCATTAATAACCGATATTTTTGCTTCATTAAATTGACTTGGAACACCCGCCAATATGGTTCACTACTTGACACTTGCCACATAAACACTGGAGGTAATGAGTGTTTCCTCTGGTGGGTCAGGTAGTTGAGATGTGACAAGGAAGAAAATCATGTCATATTGTGTGTAATAATAATAATAATAATAATAAACTTTTATTGAAAAAGTTTGCAGCCCGAAGGCTGAAAATATACATTGGACATAGATGACTTATTACATACATTGGTGGTTTAACAAAAGCCTTCGTTAGAGAAAGGTAAAGGAACATACAGTGAACATACAGATTAATGTTTACACACGTGTGTGTGTGTGTGTGTGTACAAGTGTTGGTGGTTCTCATTACTCTGGTGTAGGACAGCGAGACGTGGGTCACCTGTAGGCAACTTCTCAAGCTATCTGAGAACTTTTATCAACTCTGTCTCTGTTCTTTCTAAATCCTCTGGGAAGAAAGGAGGATAAACGTCTGTATCCTCGCTAGCGTCGCTGACACCAACTGTAGGAGCATCTGTCATTATCCAGGCTTATTTACGTCATGGTCTATAGGAAGAGTACACCTCGAGTTACGTTGGGCTGACCATGTTTACCTTCACGTACGGCAGGCGACTACCAAGGCAGCTACTCTCAGAGACATTTGACAAACATGGTGTTGACGGGGGTTGGAAGAGGTAGCTCACGATGATACACATAAGACGAACCAATAAAACTAC